ATCCATCCCAAAACCGTGACCCCTGTAGGCTTCAACTTCATCCTTTCAGTTGTTGTTGTTAGGTGCTGTTGAGTGTGTTCCACCTCAGAGCAACCCTAGGTACAACAGAACCAAACACTGACCGGTCCTGCACCATCCTCACAGTCATTGTTACGTTTGAGCCCATCGTTGCAGCCACTGTGTCAGTCCATCCTGTCGAGGGTCTTCCTCTTTTTCGCTGACCCTCTACCTTACCAAGCATGACGTCCTTCTCCAGGGACTAGTCCCTCCTGATAACATGTCCAAAATACGTGAGAGGAAGTCTCGCCATCCTTGCTTCTAAGGAGAATTCTGACTGTACTTCTTCCAAGACAGACTTGTTCATTCTTCTGGCAGTCCATGGTATATTCAATATTCTTTGCCAACACCATAATTCAAAGGCATCAATTATTCTTCGGTCTTCCTTATTCATTGTCCAGCTTTCGCATGCATATGAGGCAATTGAAAACACCCTGGCTTGGGTCAGGAGCACATTAGTCAGAGTGACATCTTTGCTTTTCAACACTTTAAAGAGGTCTTTTGCAGCAGATCTTCCCAATGCAATATGTCATTTGATTTCTTGACTGCTGCTTCTGTGGGTGTTGACTGTGGATCCAAGTAAAATGAAATCCTTGACAACTTCAATCTTTTCTCCATTTATCATAATGCTGCTCACTGGTCCAGCTGTGAGAATTTTTGTTTTCTTTATGTTGAGGTATAATCCATACTGAAGGCTGTAGTCTTTGATCTTCATCAGTAAGCACTTCAAGTCCTCTTCACTTTCAGCAAGCAAGTTTGTGTCATCTCTGGCCAAAAACAAAGTCATCCTTGACTCTTCTTTTTCTCTCATACCCTACATCCAATCTATCAGGAAATCCTTTTGCCTGTACTTTCAGAATATATTCAGAATCCAACTACTTCTCACCACCTCCATTGCTATCACTTTGTTTGAAAGCCTACATGTTCCCTTCCCTGGATTATTGCAATAGCCTCCTAACTAGTCTTCTTAGTTCATACTGAAGTCAGAGTGATTTTGTTAAAAAAAAAAAAATAGAAATGTCATTTCCCTGCTTAAAACCCTTCAGTGACTTCCTCTTTCACTCAAGGTCAAAGCCAAAGTCTTTACAATGGCTCATAAGACCCTACAGCATGTGCCCACCCATCCCATTATCTTCCTGATGTTCCCTTACTCAGTCTAATCCAGCCACATTAGCCTCTTTGCCTTTCTTCAAACACATCGTGCATGCTCCTGCCTCAGGGCCTTTGCACTTGCTATTTCCGCTACCTGGAATGCTCTTTCCCAGTTTTCCCCATTGTTTGCTCTCTTCATTTCTTCATATCTTTGCTCAATTACCACTCTCTCAGTGAGGCTTCCCAATCATTCTAATTAAAACTGCAATCCCTCCCCACTCTACTACTACACTCCCCATCTCTCTTCCCTGCTTATCATTATTACCCATTGCCATCGAGTCAATTCCAACTCATAGCGACCCTATAGGACAGAGTAGAACTGCCCCATAGTGTTTCCAAGGCTGTAAATCTTTACGGAAGCAGACTGCCACATCTTTCTCCTGCGGAGTGGCTGGTGGGTTCAAACCGCCAACCTTTTGGTTAGCAGCTGAGCGCTTTAACCACTGCCACCAGAGCGCCCTCTTATCATTATTACCATATGATTTACTATATGTTTCATATTATAAATTTTAGTTATTGTCCTTTCTACCTCCACTACAGTGTAAGTTCAAGAAATTTTGTCTTTTTTGTTTGTCTTGTTCATTATTATATTCCTAACCCTTAAAATAGTTCCTTATACATAGTAGGTGCTCAGCAACAATTTGTTGAATAAACAAACATTAATGAACATTTTAAATACTCCTAAAGAGCTTATGTCAACCTAGTATGGGAAAGGGGAGTACTGAGCATCCAGGAGTGATTCCCCTACTCCTCAGGTGTTCAGCTGAGGACTGTGTACGCATCTGTCTTTGTGGGTCTCCCATTTGTGCTGATGATGGGCCACCTGGAAACAAGTGTGCTCTTTCAGAAACCAAAAATTCAGTGACTGAAAATAAAGTGACGAAATGTACACTGTTGGCTAAAATCAATAGCATTTCATATCAGATTCTAGCACAGACAAGTAATAAAATCACCAGAAGTCTTAAGAAAAATGAGTATTTTCTGAGCATTTAGTGCGTGCCAAGGGGACACAAAAATGACTCAGACAGAGGCCGGCCTACCCTCAAGTTGCTCACAGTCTGGGAGGGGAGACAGCAGCCATGCAAGCAGACAAGTATACGGTATCATCAGTCCACTGAGAGAAAAATGTACTAGGTACAAAGGTAGCAGAAAGGGGGGAGTGATTAATTGGAATAATAGAGTGGGTGATATCTGAGCTAGGTTTTGAAGCATGAAATAGAGGAGGAGGGATGGACCCAGGAGAGAAATTTACAATTGAGAAATATTTCATCATTAACTTTTTTTTCCTGCTTAGGCCACCTATCTGGATTTTAACAAATAGCTTTGGCAAATAGCTTGTCCAAACTTGCAGAACTCAAAGTTGTATGGAGCAGAATTTGAAAACTCTTGGTTATTGGAACATGCCGGGAAAGGCTGAATGAATTTGAAAGGGACAGACAGCAGGAATGGAGGCCAATGGCTTCACAGGAGCAGAGCAGTGAAGAGGAGACTGTTTAATAATCACTGGCTCCATCACAGGCTCAAGGCTCCCACAAAAGAGGAGGGAAAAAGAGTAGGAAGGGCAGGGGCCCTGGGCCATTATTTATGCTGTGCCCCTTTCCTGCAGCACCCTTTCTCCTATTCTCTGCCTCTCCTGAGGCAAGAGGCCACCTTGGTGGTGCAGAAAGATCCTATGCTTTGAAGTGTGAAGATGTGAGTTTGAGTCTTACTGTGTGATCTTGTGCCTGGCTTCCAAACCTTTGTTCTCCACAGCCTAGAGAGTGAAGTCCAAGCTCCTTGGCTCGGCATTCAACGCCCTTCTCCATCTGGCCTCGGATGACCTCTCCAACCTCATCTACCCAAAACTTCTTTTCTTGGGCTTCTGTGCCTTCACAGATACTGCTCTCTCAATTTGAAACATCTTTACCCTCCCCCTCCCCAATTACCTTAAAATTATCTAGTGCTGCTATAACAGAAATACTACAAGAGGGTGCTTTAACACAGAGAAATTTATTTTCTCACAGTTTAGGAGGCTAGAAGTCTGAATTCAGAGTGCTGGCTCTATAGGAAGGCTCTCTTTCTCTGTCCACTCTGAGGGAAGGGCCTTAACACTTTTCAGCTTCTATTCCTAGGTTCCTTGTGGATCATGAGGCTTGTATATTCCCCATCTCTGCTTTTCTTTTTTTTTGCTTCTTGCATAATCTACTCTTATATCTCAAAAGACATTGACTTAAGACACACCCTACAGTAATACTGTCTCATTGACATAACAAAGAAAACTCTATTGCCAAATGGGATTATAACCACAGGTGTAGTAAGATTTACAACATATATTTTTGGGGGACACAATTCAATCCATAATACCAGTCTAGAGAATTCCTATACCTCTTTCAAGACAAAACTCTGATGTCACCACCTCTGAGAGGCCTTCTCTGACTGCTCAGGCTAAGTTAACAACTGCCTCTGGGTCTCAAAACCCAAGTTTCCTCTACCCCAGCATCTGGACCACAACAGTAGCACCTGGCTGGTTTCCTCCATCACCCTCCTTGTTCCCTCTGCCTGCTGTCCTCCCTTCCTAGCCATGCCTACATAACAGCCAGAGGGATCTTTTTACAAAATACAACACTGAACTCTCTGCCCCCACCTCCCAAAACAAACAAACAAACAAACAAAACCTTCATTTCTTGGTCTATGGACCATAATCTTAACCACGGCCTACCAGGCTCTATGTGACCTCACCCCTGCCTGCCTGTCTGTCTACCTTCACCTCTCACTATGCTTCCCCTTTGCTCCAGCCTAACTGTTGTGTGCCATGAGTCAGTTCTGACTCTTAGTGTCTCTATAGGACAAACAGCTGCCCCCACAGGGTTTCCCAGGCTGTAATCTTTACCAGAACAGATCACCAGGTCTTTTCTCCTGTGGAGTGACTGGCGGGTTCGAACCACTGACCTTTTGGCTAGCAGCCGAGCTCTTTAACCATTGCCACCAGGGCTCTTTTCAGCCTAACTGAAAAATCAAATCTGTTGCCATTGTGATTCTGACTCGTGGTGACCCTACAAGATAGAGCAGAACTGCCCCATAAGATTTCCAAGGAGCAGCTAGTGGATTAGAACCACCAATCTTTTGGTTAGCAGCCACAGCTTTTAACCACTGCACCATCAAGGCTCCTTCCAGCCTAACTAGCCTTTATTTCTCAATATGCCATGTTTCTCTTCTCCTCAGGACCTTTGCACTTACTACTTCCCTGCTTCAACCTGGCTAATACCTATTGTGTGTGTGTGTGGTGAAAATATAAACATTTGCCGATTCAGTAGTTTCTACATGTACAATTCAATGACGTTCATGTTGCACAATCTGTTCAGTCTTCAGAGCTCAGCTCAAAACTCCCTTCCTCTGGGTCTTGACCTTCCAAGATAGTTTAGGTGTCCAATATCTAGTTTTATGGTACTTACTAAGGCACAAGCTAATTAAAAACTAAGCTCTCAGACCCAGGTTTTTGCCGCCTTTTCTCTGCCAAGCCGCCCTTTCCCTGGAATAAAGGGAGCCTTACTGAAGCAATCCTCCTCACTGTGGTCAGAATACGGGAACCAGGGTTCTGGGATCTGGAAAGCGGCGCGGAGTCCAACGCTCCCACTGTACAGATAGGGAAACTGAGGCCCAGAGCCTAGCGTCCACCGCTCGCGCCGTTCGGGGAAGAGGGCGCGTCCAGCCTGACGGGCCGCGCTGCGCTCGGGCCGCCCCCTCCCACCCACTACGCTGGGTCCCCCCGCCTCGTCTTTGCCCGCGCAACGCCGCCACCTAGGAAGCGAGTTATGGGGGCTGCAGTGGCGGCGGCGTGGCTGGTCCTGTCGGCCGCGGCCGCGACGCAGCGGCAGCAGGACTTCTACGACTTCAAGGCGCTCAACATCCGGGGCAAGCTGGTGTCGCTGGAGAAGTACCGCGGCTCGGTGAGTGTTCGCCTGCCCGGCCTTGGCGCCGCCCTGGCCGGTCCTTACGGGGGCGCCCCGCGGCCCGGGACCCCGCCGGGCTCAGAGGGCCCGGACTGCCTGGCAACCTTGTCCCGGCTCTCCACTCCCACCCAGGCATTACCCCAGGGCGCGGCGCCCCCAGACTCTGCGCCCGGGCTGCCCTGTGACTACGTGGCACGGCCGGCGCTCAGTGAAACCCGAAACTCGCGCCGCTGCCGCCGACTTCCCGTCTGGCATGTCTGGGCAGCGAGGGTCCGGACCTAGCCAGTAGGCCTAGCCTTTGCCACACGCCAGTGAAAAAAAGTAGCCCTAGCATCCTAGAGCTTTCACCTCCCTTGCTTCTTTTTCTGACTCTGGAGCAAGGAGGCTGCCGATTTGGATACAGTGGGAACATCGTGGCAGTCAATGTGCAGCAGGAGATGCACAGAGACTTTACACGGATCATCCTTTCGCGAGGACACTAAAGCCCAGAGAGGGGAAGACAGCTCTAAAAAGCAACAGAGCATGGAGGTGAACCATGTGTCCATCCTCTGGTTCACTCTAGGCAAACTCCTAAAATGGCATGTCAGGCAGGGATATGAGAGTCATCCGGGCCAACTGCTGTCTCCTTTCAGAGAGGGAATCTTAGCCCAGAGAGGACTTCAGAGAGGCATTGTGGCTGGGTTGAGTCTTTGAAACAAGAGTGGATTTTAGCAAAACTAAGATGATTCCAAGCAAAGAGAACTGTCCATGCCAGGGCCCAGAGACAAAGAGCAGGAAGGATGGGGGAGGGATGGGGAGGACTTCAGGCAGTTGTGCTGGAACGAGTATAAAGGGCTTGAAGGAGTATAAAGGTTGAGGCAGAGAGTGGTGGAAGATGAGCCTGGAGGAGGCGGGGAGGGACCATGAGGAGCCTGAACACTGCATTCAGAGGCCTGATGTTACACTGTGTAATGGAGAGTCCACCAAGTCTAATTCTCAGGGTGGACTGTGGTGTGGGAAAGGTGGGGAGCGGTCTCTAATGGATAGATGGGCCCAGCATCCAGATTTGGGTGGATCACGCAAAAATCGCTACCAGTATTCTACTCCAGGAAGCAGGGACATCTTTAGTGATGATAGGACTCTTGAAATTCTCAGTTATGTTGGGAGTCAGGGACCCTGGGGCAGGAATCCCTGCCCTGACAGTCCCTCAGGCTGTGAATTTCAAATGAGGTGAGAGTTGGGGAACCCTTGGTAAACTGTAGAGTGAGTGCTCTGTACCTGTGTTTGGTGGGCCCCAGCAGGAACCTCATCGAAGACTCAGAGCAAAGAGCCAAGAAGGGCAGGGTCCATTCCTGTTCAGGCCTCCCCTGCCCTCTACTGCAGCTCACCTGAGAGCTCTGCTACTCATTAATTCATTATTAATCTACTACTGAGTACCTACTGTATATAACATACTGAGCCAGGCTCTGGGGATACATTGGTGAACAAAACAGACAAGTTTCTGCTTTAATCAATCTTATATAGAATGGGAATAAGGAGAAGAGAGACAATAAATAAGGAATGCAGAAATGAACACGATAATTCCCAGCTCCAGAATGCATGCCTTAATCACTGTGCTTAGAGGAAAATCACAGTTAGTCTGGGGAAGCTGTGGGTTGTTCCAGGGTAGGCCTGAGGTTTGGACAATATGCTCATTCATTCACCTGCAAATATTTAATGACTCCTACTACATGCCTGGCACTGGATCCAGCCCTGGAGATCCAGCCATGAGCAAGATAGACATCAGGGGCCCTTATGTGGAATTGACAGCATAGTTGAGAAGAAAGTTATTTAGACCATGTTGAGTATGGATGACTGGGTGAGCACTTAGGGATGTACTTGCCTACAGTGTGAGGTTATGTATATGTGAGAGGATGTGTGTGAATGGTTTATTTATTTGCTTGCTTCTGTGCAAACATCTGAATCTGTATCTGTGCTTGTATATGTATATATATAAATTAACTGTGTGTATCTGAGTGTGTCTGTCTGTGTTTTGGTCTCTTTCAGGGTAAGCCTTTTGGTACTAGGGATGAAACTAGAAGCAAGATTTCCCTCTTCTAAAAGAGTAGGCTTCTATGTAGATATCATAGGCACAAAAGAGGTAGGTTAAAAATAAGCAATTTTTAATGCTCTCATTGCCCAGGGATCCAACAAGGAAGAAAGGAGGACCCCTAATAATATAGGAAGGGAGTTTCAGAGTCCCAGTTTCTCACTATCCCAGGCTGAGTATGGTAAAAGCTGACATGGAATGGGAGAGGTTGTTTATCAGCCTGTGGCCCCAGGGAATGGGCTCTTCATCTATTGGAGGCAAGGTAAGGGAGTTACAGCCCAGTGGCTCTTATCTAGCCTAGGAGTTCTCAACTGGGAATGATTTTGCCCCCCAGGGGACATTAGGCAAGGTCTAGAGACATTTTTGATTGTCAAGACTGGGCATCTAGTGGGTAGAGGCCAGGGATGCTGCTAAACATCCTACAATGCACAGGACAGGCCTCCACAACGAAGAATTATCCAGCCCAAAATGTTGATGGTGCCCAAATTGAGAAACCCTGTCTCACCTGAGCAGTTTGTGGCTGTGCATGTCCAGAGCCCCAGGCTGCCACCAGGAGGTGGTCATCTGGCCCTCTTTATGGGACCATTTGGTATAGTCCTCACTTTTTTCTCAAAAAGTGGTCAGGGAGATGGGGCTGGACAGCCCAGGTGCAGGGTAGGGTTTAAAATCCTTTAATAATAAATAGTTAATGGCACAGATAGCATTGGTGCCAAAATTTTAATTGCAGTAGTATAATCAAGTTCCATCAGCCAGCTTTAGTAAATTTAGAGATTAGTCTAATATCTTAGTTATTTAGTGCTGCTGTAACAGAAATACCACAAGTGGATGGCTTTAACAAACAGAAATATGTTTTCTCGTAGTTTAGGAGGCTAGAAGTCCGAATTCAGAGCGCCGGCTCTAGGGGAAGGCTTTCTCTCTCCGTTGGCTCTGAAGGAACGTCCTTGTCTCTGAGCTTCTGCTCCTGGGTGATTTTCATGTGGGTTGGCATCTCTCTTCCCCCATTGCTGCTTCTTTCACTTGCTTGTTTTATCTCTTTTATATATCAAAAGAGAGATTGATTTAAGACACACCCTACACTAATCCTGTCTTATCAACATAACAAAGAAATCCCATTCCCAAATGGGATTATAATCACAGTCCTAGAAGGTTAGGATTTACAACACATATTTTCCACGGACACAATTCAGTCCATAACATCTATTGATTAAAGAAAGCCTTATTACAAAGTGGTATTTGTTTACCAGAGGGAGGGGTAAAAAGGGATTGCCCTGGGGCTCTGGGGGTCCTTTTATCAAGAAAGCCATGTGTGTCTCTGTGCCCATGCAGGTGATTGTGTACGTGTGTACGCTTGCTTAGTCATTCAGTAGACACTTACTGAGACTTTTCCATACGCCAGGCCCAGAGATGAAGTAGATACAACATCTGCCCGCAGTGGGATCATGTATACCAGCAGCTACAGTATAAAGTGATGAGTGCCAGCTGGCTGTTAGGGATTGAATTGTGTCCCCCAAAAATATGTATTATAAACCCTAACGCCTATACCTGTGGTTATAATCCCATTTGGGAGTGGGTTTTCTTGGTTATGTTAATGAGGTAGTATTAGTGTAGGGTGTGTCTTAAGTCAGTCTGTTTTGAGACATGAAGGAGATTCAAGAAGCAATCGAGAAAGCAGAGATGGGGGAAGATACCTGCCGCACCATATGAAGATTGTCAAGGAACCAAAGAACAAGGAACTTCCGCCCGAGCCAACAGAGAGAAAGCCTTCCCCTAGTGCTGGCACCTTGAATTCCAACTTATAGCCTCCTAAATTGTGAAAGAATAAATTTCTGTGTGTTAAAGCTACCCACTTGTGGTACTATAGCAGCACTAGATAACTAAGACATGCTAGCTGGCTGAGCCAGAAATTAAACCCAGGTCTGCCTTTCCGCTCCCTCACATTACCTCCCAATGTGTGCTCACCAGTGTGTGCGCCTCTCTCTGTGAATGTGTTGTGTGTGTTTGTGGGCATGTGTGATGTGTGATCATGTGTCTTTGTACCATGGAGCATTTGCATACCTATTTATGTATATTATGTGCTTATGTTCACATATGTTCATTGTATGAGTGTGCATGTATTTCTATAAGCCACTCCATGTTTGATTCACGTGTGCATATGTTTAGTATATGTGAGAGCATTGCACATACATTTATGTATGTGTACGTTGTGTTCTTGTATGTGTAAGAGAGCATTATTGGGGGAGTCACTTGGGCATGTGAGGGTGTGTACAAGTATATGCCTTTTCACTGGGTTGTTTATGTGTCTGAGTTTTTGTTGTTGTTTTTTTGCCACCCAGGTATCCCTGGTGGTGAATGTGGCCAGCGAGTGTGGCTTCACGGACCAGCACTACCGAGCCCTGCAGCAGCTACAGCGGGACCTGGGCCCCCACCACTTCAACGTGCTTGCCTTCCCCTGCAACCAGTTTGGCCAGCAGGAGCCTGATAGCAATAGGGAGATTGAGAGCTTTGCCCGCCAAACCTACAGTGCCTCTTTCCCCATGTTTAGCAAGATCGCAGTCACTGGCGCTGGTGCCCACCCTGCCTTCAAGTACCTGACCCGTGAGTCCTGGTCCCTTCATCCACACACCTTCCCTCAGCTGCCTAAGGCCTTGACTCTCTGAACAGCAGAAGCCACTGGCTGGCTGGGGTAACTGGAGCCTCCCTCTTCCTGACCCTCTCTGGTACGATGGCTTTCCGTTTCAGCAGTAAGCTTTGAGGAGATTGGGGCAGGCATGAGCTGAGGTATTCAGGTACTTCTTCCTAAGAATATCTCTATCTCTGCTGCCTTTCAGTTCTCCCTCAGCCACTCTTGCTGGCTTCTCCGGGATCCTGTTTTCACATGCAGTGGCTCTTAGAAGAATACTGGGCTCTCACATTTTAGTCATTGTGAATTGTTTAGCTTACTATTTGAGGAGAAACCAAGGTGCAGACAGGAGACACCATATGTCTAAAGAAGGCTGACCGAGAGGGCTGACAGATATCTCCTGTCCTGAGTTATAGGCACAGTCTGTAGACCATAGGAGGGTTCCTCCTGAACTAAAATACCAAATTTTAATATTTTAGAAATACATCCCTTCTCCAGCCCTAGAAGTCTCAGAACCACGAAATGGGGTCATAGGCGAAGCTTTATGGTTCTAGCTGCTGCCTCAAGCCTTTCTTCTCCTTTAGGGGCTCCATTTTTGCTTTCTCCCATTCCAGACTCCTGGCTGCCTTTGTATGCCTTACCACCCACCCTAACCCATTCACCTTGAAGAGTAAATGAGAAACAACAGTTTAGCAAGGCCCCTTTCTAAGGCCAACTTGCATTTTGTTCCACAAGTCAACCTAATGTTTCCTTTTTCTTCCCTGTGTGTTTTTGTTAGTTCCTTCCCAGCTCCCACAGTTATACATCAAACCTAGCCATGCTTAGAAGCACCTGGCAAGCTCTTAAAAATGCGTAAGTCTGAGACCTACTGAAGCATGCCCCAAGAATCTGTTTATTTTAAGCCCCTCTCCCCACCTCATAGTGATTCTGCTGCAGCCAGTCCTGGACTAACATTTGGGAACCATTAAGTCTCAGTCACAATAGGGTGTAGGATGTTCAGTAGTTGGAGGTCATTAATAAAGGAGATCTGATACAGAATCGCACAATCTCAATCTTGGCTGCACATTGGAATCTCTTAGCTTTTTAAAAGTACTGATGCCTGAGTCTTACTCTAGAAAGTCTGATTTAAGTGGTCTGGGGTGTGGCCTCAGTATCAGGATTGTAAAAAGCTCCCCAGGTGATTTTAACTAACAGAACCACTGCCTCAAGGGAAAGATGAACACTGATAATGGAATCCCAGGTGATGATACATACGGAAGCATGCTTTGGTCTCCTTCTTCCTTTTTCTCTAGAGACTTCTGGAAAGGAGCCCACCTGGAACTTCTGGAAGTACCTCGTGGCCCCAGATGGCAAGGTGGCTGGGGCTTGGGACCCAACCGTGTCGGTGGAGGAGATCAGGCCCCAGATCAACGCGCTTGTGAGGAAGCTTATCCTGCGAAAGCGAGAAGAGTTATAACCACTCTTCCCCCTTTACTTCCATCCGCCCCGCTTGTGCATAGGTGACCAAAGCAAACTCAGATGGTGCTTCCAGGGGAGAGACCCCTGACTCCCTTTCTTCCTCTACTCTTATCCCACCTATCCCATCCCTCCTATGGGGGAAAAATTCTAGTATTTTTATTATTTGAATCTTAGGGTAACCAATAGGAACTCCTGGCCAATGAGAGCTCTTGCCCAATGATTTCACCAGCCAGTAAGAACCTCTAGCCAATGAAAACATGGTAAATAGAAGTGTATCAAGCAATAATCTCCCAGCCAATGAGAACTCTCTAAAATGGAGCCAATGCCTACCTCACAGGGCTGTTGTGAAGGTTAAAATTAAATACCTGTGAAAGTGCCTAGGCAGTGTATTCAATAAATGTTTTTTGCATATAAACAACAAAAAAAAAACCTTGTGATTTGATAAAACTTGCACCCAACATGAATTTCTAGACATTGCAAATGTAGGTCAAACATTTGTTGTTGTTTTCCACTGTATTATTAAGGTGCCTTGGTATATTATTTTTTAATACCAAAATGCAAGCTCATTGTAAGAATCCAAATCATACAGGATGATATAAAAGGAAAATATCCCCCTCATTTCTTTCACTCCCTGAAAGGTAAACACTATTAGCAATTTGGTATGTATGTTTCCAGGCCTTTTCCTATCAGACCAATAATTAATGCCCAATAAGTCCAAAAGTACACTACAATAACAAATAGGCAAAGAATATGAGTAGACAGTTCACAGAAGAATATAGGTGGACAATAAGCTTATAAAAAAATTTTCAACTTCATTCAAATTGCAAAGATTTTAAAATGAGAATGCCTGTTGTTGGTAAGATGTGGAGAGAAGGGCATTCACATACATTGTTGGTGGGACAATAAACTGATACAAGTTTTCTGGAGGGTGATCTAGCAATATCTTTTAAAAACCAAATGTTCATGCCCTTTGATCCATCATTTTCTCGTCTACAAGCCTCCCAAACTGCAAATATGAGTGAAGAATAATATGTATGTACACTGTTCATACTAGTGAAATTTTGGGTGCAACTCTCATATCCATTGTTATGGGTCTGGTAATAAATTACAATACAAACCCAAATGATAAATTGATACAGCTATTAAAATGAATGAATTAAATCTCTATGTACTACTATGGAAAGTTGTCCAGAAGTGAAAAAAGGCAAGTTGTAAGACAGAATCAGCAAGTATGATAATATTTTTATTGAAATTTCATAATAACAATGTTACATGAAATGGAGAGAAGAAAAAGACGATTGTAGACCAAACTGTTGATGGTGGTTGTCCTTGAGGGAATGTGGTGGAATAAAAGGAGTCATTCACTTTCTTTATTATGTCTTTCTACAATGTTTGGATTTTGTATATAAAATACATATTTCATTTATACAAATTGAAACAGTCAAAAATTGGGAGGTAAGCAAAGCTCATTGACCGATAATTCATTGAGCAATAAGAATTTGATGTCTACTTTTTCTGAGGTCACTCTTCTGGAAGTCCAAAGATCGGATCCAAATCCTGACTGTGCCCTTCACTCACAGAGTGAGCAAATGGCTCCCTCTCTGCTCTCCTCCATTTTCCCATTGGACAATGAAGGAGTTGAACTGTGTTACACAGTTCTGTCTCCCTTAATGATCATTCTCATAAGCTACCCAGAGTGAAATAAAGGCTGGCTGTGGGCTGACCACAAGCCACCCTGTGGTGGCCTCCAGCCTGCCTTTACACACCGCACTCCAAGCTCCATGACTGCAAATGTGCATGTATGCATGTGCACACATGCAGTGAAACTGAGCTATCACAGAATTTTTCATAATGGACATCTGGGAACCACATTTCCCTGCAGCTGCCTGCTTCCCTTTATACCCACTGTCTCCACCTCACCATCTATATTTACTCCTCACCTCACTGCACTCGTCAAGACTGTCCCTGACCTCTTTATTATTAAAGTCAATGGACATTTCTCTGACCTTATCCCACTTGACCTCTCAACCTCATCTGACATTGCTGACTATGCTCTTCTCCCTAACATGTTCTCTTCCCTTGACTTTCATGCCGCCATATTCTTTTAGCATTTCTACCTTCTGGCTAAGGAGCCTTGGTGGCACACTGGTTAAGCGCTCAGCTGCTATACAAAAGTTTGGTGGTTTGAATCCACCAGCCGCTCTGTGGGAGAAAGACCTGGTAGTCTACTCCTATAAAAATTACAGCCTAGGAAACTTTACAGGGCAGTTCTGCTGTATCCTATAGAGTCATCATAAGTTGGAATTGCTTTGATGCCACCTGACAACAACACCTCTATGACCACTCCTTCCTTCTCAGTCTCTTTTGATAGCTTTTCCTCTTCTGCTCACCCCTTCGCTGTTCGTCCTCCTTGGAGTTCTAGGTAGATTCCTCTTAGCACTTCATGTACTCTTCCTCAGCTACCTCATTTTTTCTCATGGTTTTGACCACCATCTATACCCTGATGACAACCAAATCTACCTTGTATTGACACCAGACTCACATCCACCGGCCTACTGGGCATCTTTACAGACACCTCAAACTTAACATGTCCAGAACCAAACTCCTCTCTCTGACACACCTGCTCTCCCTTCCACTTAGCCTTCGAGAAACCCCCAGACTTTCCTTTTCATGCACCACTCACTCATTCACTCACTCACCATACTCTGTTCTTACTGTCTGTGCAACTAGCCCCTTTCCCCTCAGCAGAGTGCCTTGACCTTAACAGGCTAAATTGAATTTTGTAGAAAGCCATTTTTGAGCACCAGCTCCATGCCTGTCCCTGGCTAGACCATATCTGGAGACCAAAAATAAGTAAACACAGTTCCCCTCAGAAGCTTATAATCCAGCTGAGGATTTTACACTCCCAATTAGACCTACATTCTTATGTTGTTGTTGTTAGGTGCCGTTGGGTCGGTTCCAACTCATAGCGACCCCATGTACAACGGAACGAAACACTGCCCGGTCCTGTGCCATCCTCACAATCGTTGCTATGCTTGAGCCCATTGTTGCAGCCATTGTATCAACCCATCTCTTCCTCTTTTTCACTGACACTCTACTGTACCAAGCCTGGTGTCCTTCTCCAGGGAGCGGTTCCTCCTCATAACGTGTCCAAAGTGTATGAGACCAAGTCTCACCATCTTTGCTTCTAAGGAGCACTCTGGCTGTATTTCTTCCAAGACAGACTTGTTGGTTCTTCTGGCAGTCCATGGTATATTCAATATTCTTCACCAACACCATAATTCAAAGGCATCAATTCTTCTTCAGTCTTCTTTATTCATTGTCCAGCTTTTGCAGGCATATGAGGTGACTGAAAATATCATGGCTTGGGTCAGGCGCACCTTAGTCCTCAAAATGACATCTTTGTTTTTCAGCACTTTAAAGAGATCTTTTGCAGCAGATTTTCTGGATGCAACGTCATTTAATTTCTTGACTGCCTCTTCCATGGCGTTGATTGTGGATCCAAGTAAAATGAAATCCTTGACAACTTCAGTATTTTCTCCTTTTTTGTTCCTATAGGCTTTATCAACTTTCTGCTGTCCCCAAGTCCCCTCTAAAGTGCAGAATCCCCAGGAAAAATCTCACTTTAAATCCTTACTGTCGCCTTAGTCATTGGTTAACCAGTCTCTGCTCATATCTTAGTTTTAAATTAATACCCTGGTTATCAGCTATCAATTGAGTAGTTAATATTTGGTTATCTACTAACATCTTAATTATCTTTTAACACATAACTTATAAGCCAAATATTTTATTTAATAGGTTATATCTTGCACTTAGTAGTTTAGCTATTTGCAAAGATTTAATTATTAATCAAAGGAGGCCTGGTGGCACAATGGTTAAGAACTCAGCTGCAAGATCAGTGGTTTGAACCTATCCGCCGTTCCACTGGTAGTAAAGACCTGGAGATCTGCTCCCATAAAGATTTCAGCCTAGAAAATCCTACGGGGCAGTAATAAAACAGAGGTCCCCAGGATACGGAAAATTCCAGTCTCAAGCAGCTTGCTTGGCACCCCCCTATAGCTTTACATTAAAATCCTGGTTCCTTTGCTTGACATGCCCTGTACTTTTACGTTAAAATCCTGGTTCCCCTCTCCTTAACTGCAGCCCCAAACTAGAGGAAATTGGTGGAAACTGGTTTAGGCACCATGTTGACATTCAGGATAACCTTTTAGCTCATTAAGTACCTCATACATAGTAACTTCCCCACCTCTGGATGGAGTTTAACCTCCATTTTCTGAACATGCGATGAATGAAGTTATATGTAAACCCCATTGTGCCTGTGTAGTATGATTAAGAATGTTGTTGATGTAACTTGCATGAATTTTCTACTTGTAAACTCTTTAAAAGTAAACTTCCCCCTCGCTCTCGCTGAGCAGTTTTGGCGGCGGCAGCCCCAACTGTTCCTTTCCTTGTGCAACAAAATAAAGGTACCTTTCTATTCTCCCACCTCGGTCTCTCGTTTATTGGCTGAGACATGTTGTGCTGAGCAGAACCTGGGGTTTCCACTCAGCAACATTTCTACTCTGTCCTATAGGGTCACTATGAGTCAGAATTGACTTGATGTCACACAACAAAAATTATTAATCAATACTTTAGTTATTTGCTTAAATCTTATTACTGACTCCTTAGCTATCTGCTCGTGGTTTAGAGTAGATTAGCAGACCAAAGACCACCAGAAAGGAGTTTGAGCAGGGGTCAGTTCTTTGTCTTCTGCTGAGTTCTCCTTTTACCCCTAAGTGATTCTCTTCGACATCAACTAGTCTCAAGTCCTCAAAGAAAGGGAAGTCCCACCCTAATCCCTTATTTGCTCCCTGAGCTGGGTTGGAAGGTGGAGGGAGAAGGGTATGACTATGAGGGGAGTTCCTGTAAAGTTAGGGTTGGAAAGAACAGCTCATTCACCAATAAATAATTCTTGGGCACTATGTCACCATGAGTTGAAAAATCGATTCAATAGCTCCT